GCCGGGCGCGGTGGCTTATACCTGTAATCCCAGCACTTTGGGAGGCCGAGGCAGGCGGATCATGAGGTCAAGAGATCGAGACCATCCTGGCCAACACGGTGAAACCCCGTCTCTACATTTAAAAAAAAAAAAAAATTAGCTGGGGATGGTGGCGCGAGCCTGTAGTCCCAGCTACTTGGGAGGCTGAGGCAGGAACATTGCTTGAACCCGGGAGGCAGAGGTTGCAGTGACCCGAGCTCGAGCCACTACACTCCAGCCTGTCCAGCTTGGCGCCTGGCGACAGAGCAAGATTCTGTCTCAAAAAAAAAGAAAGAAAGATAATTTGGCCAGGTGCAGTGGCTCACACCTGTAATCCCAGCATTTTGGGAGGCCAAGGCAGGTGGATCACCTGAGGCTAGGAGTTCGAGACCAACCTGGCCAACGTGGTGAAACCCCAACTCTACTAAAAATACAAAAATTAGCCAGGCATGGTGGCAGACACCTATAATCTGTCTACTCAGGAGGCTGAGACAGGAGGATCCCTTGACCCCGGAGGTGGATGTTGCAGTGGGCTAAGATTGTGCCATTGCACTCCAGCCTGGGCCACAAAAGCAAAACTCTGTCTCAAAATTTTAAAAAGATAATTTTTAGGTTAAAATTTTCACAAATATTCCCTGAGAGGTGTCATTTTATGAGAACATTTAATAAAAGCTAGAACCTGTTAAGTATAATCAGGAAACGCTAGCACATTATTTCTTACTGAAATATAATCCATAAAAAATAAATCTATACTAAATTCAAAATAATAAGTCCAAAGAGACCTTGGCCTAATAAACATGCTTCTCACTGAAATACAATGTGTTCTTTTTTTCTTTTTTTTTTTTTTTTGAGACAGAGTCTCTCAAAAAAAGGCTGGAATGGGCCGGACGTGGTGGCTCACGCTTGTAATCCAAGCACTTTGGAGGCCAAGGCGGGTGGATCACCTGAAGTCGGGAGTTCAAGACCAGCCTGACCAACATTGTGAAACTCCGTCTTTTAAAAAAAATAAAATAAAAGGCTGAAATGCAGTGGCATGATCTTAGCTCACTGCAACCTCTGCCTCCTGGGTACAAGTGATTCTCCTGCTTCAACCTCTGGAGTAGCTGGAACTACAGGTGTGTGCCACCACACCTGGCTAACTTTGTATTTTTAGTAGAGGCAGGGTTTCACCATGTTGGCCAGGCTAGTCTTGAACTCCTGACCTCATGATCTACCAGACTTGGCCTCCCAAAGTGTTGGGATTGTAGGTATGAGCCTGGCCTACGATGTGTTTTTTTTTTTTTTTTTTTTGAGATGGAGTTTCACTCTTGTTGCCCAGACTGGAGTACAATGGTACAATCTTGGCTCACTGCAACCTCCGCCTCCCAGCAAGTGATTCTCCTGCCTCAGCCTCCTTAATAGCTAGGATTACAGGCATGTGCCACCACACCCAGCTAATTTTGCATTTTTAGTAGAAATGGGGTTTCTCCATGTTGGTCAGGCTGGTCTTGAACTCCCGACCTCAGATGATCCGCCTGCCTCAGCCTCCCACAGTGGTGGGATTACAGGCATGAGCCACCATGCCTGGCCTACAATGTGTTCTTAATAGAACATTTGCTTCTTCTAAATTGGTTGCCAACAGAGCAAACACATATACAGACATTGTCAATGTTACACACAAAACAACAGTAAATAGATATAGAAGATACATACAGAAAGGCAAGGTTGTAGTTTAGTGGGTGAGAAAACTGGGTTAAAGGTGAAAGTGACTAATGGTGAGTAGATATGCAAATGAGATGATGATCAGGAGAGAAGATGTGAAGAGTTGGGCTCTGTGATTGTTAGATTTATTGTGCAAACTTGACTGGGCTGCAGGGTGCCAGATATTTTGTTAAACATTATTTCTGGGTGTTTCTGTGGAGTGTTTCTGGATGAGGTGAGCATCTGAATCAACAGATTGAGTAAAAAAGATTGCCATTCTGAATGTGGTGGGCCTCATCCAACCCATTGAGAGCTTAAACAGAACAAAAAGGAATTTGCTCTCTCCACCTGTGAGCTGAGGCATTGGTTTTCTGCCCTCACACTGGAATTCATACCATCAGTGCTCATGGTTATCAGGCACTGGGACTCACTCACCTTGAACTATGCTACTGCCTTGCCTTAGTCTCTGGACTTCTCAGCCTCCATAATCATAGCCAATTCCTTTTTCTTTTTTTTTTTTTTGAATTCACAAAATCATATGGATATTTAATATACTGCATTTTCCATATAACCCTGATGTTATGCCCTGAAATTCATGGAAAATGGTAAATACGGTTGATTGCTGCAAAGCAAATTTTACTAGTAACCAGTCAAAAACACATGTGGAAGCCAGCCAATGGTATATATATTGATTGGGTTATTATATTAAGAAGTTTACAAAGGAAAAGTATTCACTCCCTGCTTTGCCAATTCCTTATAATAAGTCTCTTTCTGTATCTCTCCTATAGGTTCTGTTTTTCTGGAGAATCTTAACACAGTCCCCCCAAAGAGTTTATTGCTTTTCACTCTTGTTGCCCAGGCTGAAATGCAATGCCACTATCTCAGTTCATCACAACCTCCACCTCCCGAGTTCAAGCAATTCTCCTGCCTCAGCCTCCCCTGTAGCTGGGATTACAGGCATGTGACACCAGGCCCGGCTAATTTTGTATTTTTAGTAGAGACTGGGTTTCTCCATGTTGGTCAGGCTAGTCTCGAACTCCCAACCTCAGGTGATCCACCCACCTCAGCCTCCCAAAGTGCTGGGATTACAGGTGTGAGCCCCCAAGCCGGACCTGGTTGTCTTTAATCTATTAATGTCCTGGCTGTGTGCAGTGGCTCATGCCTGTAATCCCAGCACTTTGGGTGGTAGAGGCAGGCAGATCACCTGAGGTCAGAAGTTTGAGACCAGCCTGGATAAGACGGCAAAACTCTGTCTCTACAAAAAATACAAAAATTATCCGGGCATGGTGGTATGCACCTGTAACCCCAGCTACTCAGGACACGGAGGCATGAGAATCACTTGAACCAAGGAGGCAGAGGTTGCAGAGAGCCGAGGTCACACCACTGCACTCCAGCCTGGGCAACAGAGTGAGACTCTGTCTCATAAAAAGACAAAAGAAAAAAAATTTTTTAACATGAGATTTGGAGGGGACAAACAGGGTCAGCATTGTCCTCAAATGGCCAGTTCTGTCACTGTGAAGGCTGTTTAACAGTAAACACAGGACAATCATGGCCTTAGCTGCCTTGCAGTTCCCCTCCTCCAGGACCTAGTGCTCCCCTGCAGCCAGCAGACAAGGGCCAATTATTATGAGATATGGTAGTGACTTGGAACAAGAGCTGATAAAGAGGTTTTGTTTCCAGAGCATGCAGCTTACTGGAACCCTATTTCAGTCACAAGATACTGGATGATTTCCTACCTCCTCTCCTAAAAATAGGCTGACCCAGTGTGGTATGATCCTCACTGGTAATTGTAGGTTACACTCAGGTAAAAATACAATTGTTGCTTAATTTTCCTGAGCATCACTGTAGACAGATGGAAATACACTCGATTACAGTGGTTTTTTGTTGTTGTTTTTTGTTTTTTTGAGACACAGTCTCATTCTGTCACCCAGGCTGGAGTGACGTGATCTCGGCTCATGGCAACCTCCGCCTCCCGGTTTCAAGTGATTCTCCTGCCTCAGCCTCCCAAGCAGCTGGGACTACAGGCACCTGCCACCACACCCAACTAATTTTTTTTTTTTTTTTTTTTTTTTTTTAGTAGTAGTGTTAGCCAGGATGTTTTCAATCTCCTGACCTCGTGATCCGTGATCTGCCCGCCTCAGCCTCCTAAAGTGCTAGGATTACAGGCGTGAGCCACCTTGCCCAGCCTATTATGGTGATTTTAATATGATTGTCATGTTTTATTTTCCAGTTCGTCAACTTTTATCTTTAATTACCCAAAGGTCAGTCTGTACTGACCTTTGTATCAAGACATAATGGAGCCAGGAATGGTGGCTCACGCCTGTAATCCCAGCACTTTCAGAGGCCGAGGTGGGTGGATCACCTGAGGTCAGGAGTTCAAGACCATGCTGGCCAACATGATGAAATCTTGTCTCTACTAAAAATTAGCTGGGCATGGTGGCACACACCTATAGTCCTAGCTACTAGAGAGACTGAGGTGGGAGAATTTCTTGAACCTGGGAGGTGGAGGTTGCAGTGAGCAGAGATTGAGCCCCTTCACTTCAGCATGGGCAATAGAGTGAGACTCTGTCTCAATAAATAAATAAATAGCCGGGAGTGATGGCTTATGCCTGTAATTCCAACACTTTGGGATGCCGAGGCAGGTGGATCACTTGAGGTCAGGAGCTCGAGACCAGCCTGGCCAACATGGTGAAACCCCCTTTCTACTAAAAATATAAAAATTAGCTGGGTATCGTGGCATGTGCCTGTAGTCCCAGCTACTCAGGAGGATGAGGCAGGAGGATCACTTGAACCTGGCAGGTGGAGGTTGCAGTGAGTCGAGATCATGCCATTGCACTCCAACCTGGATGACAGAGTGAGACTCTGTCTCAAAAAAAGTAAAAAAAGAAAAGAAGAAGACATAATGGAGCACACAAAAGGAAGAAAAGACAAGATTTCTACCCTCAAAAAAAAGAAAATTGGCTGGAGACACGCTGCGCAAGACAGCAAGACTTAAGGATATATACTCAGGAGCATTTGAGTATCCCAAGACAGCTTAGCACAGAGTAAACCACACAAAGGGAGGCCATCAGTGACTGTGACAGGGAGTGAAGGAGGGCAACTGGAGAATACATGCTGGGGGGGTGGGAAAAGCATGAGCCCAAGCTCTCATCCTGCAGACACCCGTGGCTTATTGTGGCCCTTGGGCAATTAAGTTGTCAGCTTCAGTTTGCTCAAACTGAAAACAAAAGGCAAGGACTAGATGGTCTGTAATGTCTTTCAGCTACAAGAGTACAGGATTCTTTTTTTTTTTTTTTTTCTTACAAACAGAGGTTTTATTGCGTTTGGTCCACAGTTGGGTTTCACATTATCTGATGGAGCAGGGCTCCTGGGTGAGGGTTCCTGTGCAGTACTTGGTGGGTGTGTTGCCCGAGGTGATGGAGCACTATAGCTGGTCATGCCCAGAAGGGGAGGAGGAGGGCTGGGGCTCCTAAAACCTACTGAGGGGCCGGGCACAGTGGCTCACGCCTGTAATCCTAGCACTTGGGGAGGCCAAAGCGGGTGGATCACCTGAGGCCAGGAGTTCAAGACCAGCCTGGCTACCATGGTGAAACCCTGTCTCTCTACCAAAAATACAAAATTAGCCAGTGTGGTGGAGTACCTGCAGTCCCAGCTATTTGGGAGACTGAGGCAGGGGAATCCCTTGAGCTCGGGAGGTGGACGTGCAGTGAGCGAAGATTGTCGCAAGGCACTCTAGCCTGGGCAACAGCAACAACTAAAAAAAACCCACTGAGGCTACAGGGAGGGTGGGGTAGCATGGAGATGGGGTCAGGCTTGGCCCCAACAACTCAGAATTCTGCTTCCTTGTACAGGCCTCACTTTCCCCACCAGGTCCCGGGGCAGGTCTGAGGGTCGGAGGGAAATCCAGCCACTTGGGAGCCTGAGACATTTAACATCGTGGCCAGGCCCCCTTTCCAGGAGACTCATCGCCCAGCATCCTCTCCACTGTCCCTGCCCCATTCGTTGGGGGGAAAAAATGTATTTTTCTTTTGTTAATACTTCCTGAAACTTTTGCAGGTACAGAAACCACAAACTGATCTGGTGACAAAATGAGAAGAGGGCCAGGCAACCAGAAGTCTTCAGGGACCGGTTCCCTCCAAGCCCAGGCCTCTTCTCCCCAGCACAGCTCGGCCCACAGCCTGGACAGGCCAGCAGGAACCCTGACCCTACAGGTATCAGGATACGGCCTTGAACCCTCCCCCCCCAGCCCGGTAGCTCAGTCCTGCAAAGGACCAAGGCTAGGGCGAGAAAGCCCTGCTGCCTGATCCCAGGAGCCACTCACAGACCCTCGGCTGATTGGCAGCACTGAACAGGTTAATAAAAAAAGATGAAAACCCAGAAAAACCCAGAAACCCAGACGGGGAGATGGGGAGACGTGGGGAGAGAGCGCGCTGGGAGCCTCAGTAGCCCGCCTCTTCCTGGTAGTAAGGGGGATATTCAGGGGCCTCCCCTGGGCCCCGGCAGTCGCCAGGATCGGAGGGAGCCCCGTCGACCACTGTGCCTTGCGGGCAGTACTTGGGGTCGTATATCTGCCGGCCCAGGCCGAAGACCTGGCCGCTCTGGTTGGCGCCCTGCGTGTAGCCCATCTGCAGGGACATGGAGGAGTTATCACACTTGTCGGTTCCCAGTTTGGTGTCGTAGATGTGCCGCCATGTCCCGGGAGCTGTCATGCCCACCTGGCTGGCACACTTGTTGGTGCCCATCTGGAGGCTGATGGTGGAGTGGTCCATGGGGGGCAGGATGTGGTTCTTGGGGTCGCAGAGATGCCTCCTCGTGCCGTACGCAGTCATGCCCGACTGGCTGGCGCATTTGTTGGTGCCCATCTGCAGCACGATGACACACTGGCCGGCGTTCATGGTGGCGTCGTCGAAGTTCCGCTCCTGCTTCTCCGAGTACTTAACACCGATGTCCACCCCGCTCTGCAGCCCCTTAGTCTTGGCCTTCCCCGCCAGGGCGAGAAGAAACATCTGCACCTGCATCAGGTTCCCGCTCTCAAACAGGTCGTTGGCCTCGAACAGGTCCACGGGGTTCATGCCGTAGCTGACCATGGCCTTAATGAAGTTGGAAAGGTTTTCTAGCTGGTGCCAGTTCTGCATGGAGCGGTTGATCTTGGGGACTGAGCCTGGCTGTAGCTTGTTCATGAGTGTGCATAAGATAATCCCGTCCTTCAGGCCCTTCTGGAAGTCGGGGCCAATGGAGAGGCCGGTGAGTCCCTCGATCCAGCCTCGGAGCTCTGCCTCCTTCTGTGGGTCATACTTGCACAGGAGCCGGTTCTTGACCTGGGCCGACAGCCCGTACCAGGGGCCCTTGTTGAACTGCGTGGAGCTCATGGCTGGCGTGCGCGGCGGCGGGACGGGGCCGGACGTGACTGAATACAGGATTCTTAAGGACAAATGCCTAGAACTTGGGAAGGTGAGGATGTTACAGGTAACAGGAAGGATGAGCACAAATTCACAGAAGTAGGAAAACGCTAGTTGTTTGTGCATAGGTAACCCTTGTTGTGGGGTGGCAAAGACCTTAAACAAACCTGTTTATTCTAATTCCTTTTTTTTTTTTTTTTTTAGTTTTAAAAATAGAGGCCGGCTGTAGTGGCTCATGCCTGTAATACCAGCACTTTGGGGGGCTGAGGCGGGCTGATCACAAGGTCAAGAGATCAAGACCATCCTGACCAACATGGTGAAACCCCATGTTGGAAATAGATATTGGAAATAGCTCTTCGGTGCTGCAAAGAAAAATTAGCACTGAGACAAAGGATCTTTAACCATGCAATTTTTACTTCCTGGACTGCAGGAAGGGTACTCCTGGTAGCCATAGTGCCATGAGAGTACAAAGAACAAAGGGAATCCACACAAAGTTATTCCTTACTCATTTGGGTTTGTCCTTACTGCTGTGTCTGATTTCTGTTGGCTGGAGCCAGACCTCACAATCTAAACTAGAACCTGGTTGGCTAACAGCTTAAAACTTTTCTAAACAGGTAAAAGCAATGGAGAGCTGGGACATGCCTGTGAGCACATCTAGAGAGATATCTTGGTTAAAGTACAAAGACCTAGAATGTTCTACGTGCCTATAAGCACAGCATGTCTAACAGCTACATAGGATAGGGCTTAACAAAGTTATTAGCACACTTGTTCTTTTTTTTAAATTTTTTTATTTTATTTTTTTTTAGAGACGGGGTTTCATTATACTGGTCAGGCTGATCTTGAACTCCTGACCTTGTGATCTGCCCCCCTCAGCCTCCCAAAGAGCTGGGATTACAGGCGTGAGCCACCGTGCCCGCCTAGCACACTTATTCTTTAACAAGAAAGAAAACTTTAAAAAGGAACTTTTCTACTTCCCACACCCCATCTGTACTAAAAATATAAAAATTAGCCCGGCATCGTGGCGTGTGCCTGTAGTCCCAACTACTCGAGAGGCTGAGTAGGAGAATCACTTGAACCCGGGAGGCAGAGGTTGCAGTGAGCTGAGATTGTGCCACTGCACTCCAGCCTGGCGACAGCGTGAGACTCAGTCTCAAAAAAAAAAAAAGAGGGCGAGAGAGAGACGCTGTCTCACCATGTTTCCCAAGCTGGTATGGAATTCCCAAGGTCAGGTGATCCACCAGCTTCAGCCTCTCAATACTGAGTGAGCCACCACGCCCAGCCCTGTTTAACTATTCTAAAAACTCTGAGGGCAATAAACTCGGAAATGGGTAAAACAGTGCTAAGCCAGGTAAGGGACATTAAGCAGGGTCACAGTGGAGAAAGGGATACTGTGTTTCCTGCAGGCAGAGTTGGACTTCATGCTCCCTGCCTCACTTCGAATTGTCTTCGTGGAACTACATTGCAACCCCTTCCCCAAACCCACACCCCAAATACAGTAATAAGAGGGTGTGGTGACAGATGCCCTCTCATTAGAGCAGCATCAAGTAGCCCCTTTTGTGGGTCAAGGAGCCAGATGCTGGTGCTGAAAACATGGTGGCCATTCCAGTCAGTCTGATCAGGCCTGGCATGGAGAGTAAATGTCTCTCCAAGAAGGGCACAGTAATGGCCATGCAGGAATGTCCAAATGCTGGTGATGACTGCCAGATTTCATTCTCTGGAAACTTCCCCATGGCATGCAGGATCTCTCGGGCCATCCTCTTCCCAGCACCCCCAGCCATGGCAACATAGCCATGTAGCTGCTCCAACGTATAGGAGTCTCAGTGCCCGTGAAGCCAGTCCTGCCCACTGGCTGGCATAGAACACTTTCCATATTCAGTCATTATCCCCAAGGAGGAAGTAGCTGTGTAGCACCCCCTGAATTACTGCTCCTCACCAGTTCTTCTCTTCCAATGCACCAGCTGCAGAACTTCTTGGGAGCCCAGAAGTTTTGCATAGATTTCACAATGTTTCTTTAACCTTTCTTCTTTGGCAAGAACTGCCAGTTTTTTGGCTTTTTTGGCCAGGATAAATCCCATTATAGCAGCATAGTTACCATCAGCTGTGGCATCATCCAATGTGTAGGCAATTGGAGCTCCCTCTCCATCAATAATCATGGTTCCACAGTAATTCTCTTTCCTCCAAAAGGGATTTGTATAATAAACTATACACTTGGCTGGGTGCTGTGGCTCACGCCTATAATCCCAACACTTTGGGAGGCTGAGGTGGGTGGATCATCTGAGATCAGAAGTTCAAGACAAGCCTGACCAACATGGTGAAACCCCTGTCTCTACTAAAAATACAAAATTAGCCAGGCGTGCTGGGGCGTGCCTGTAATCCCAGCCTACGGGGGAGGCTGAGTCAGGAAAATGGCTTGAACCCAGGAGGATGAGGTTGCAGTGAGCTGAGATGGCACCATTGCAGTCCAGCCTGGGCGACAAGAGTGAAACTCTGGCTCAAATAAATAAAAAATAAACTATACACTTGATGACTGAACCCAAAGGCACACAGGTGATCAACCAGCCTCTCATCATTGGCAGAGGAAGACTGAAGTGAATCCTCATGCCCAGGGTAAGAACAATAGTACTAATCACATATTTAGCTTATGTTTACTGGTTTATTGTGAAGGATAGTACAAAGGACACAGAAGAGATGCATAAGGGATATAGAGCTTTCATGCCCTTCCCAGTGCACCACCATCCAGGAAACTCCGCTTGTTCAGCTACCAGGAAGCTCTGATTGTCATGTTGTAAAACGTGGCAATACCCTAGGCCAGGTGCCCACACCTGTAATCCCAACACTTTGGGAGGCCGAAGTGTGTGGATCACTTGAGGCCAGGAGTTCGAGATTAGCCTGGCCACAGTGGCGAAACCCCATCTCTACAAAACATAGAAAAATTAGCTGGGTGTGGTGGTGTGTGCCTGTAGTCACAGCTACTTGGGAGGCTTAGGTGGGAGGATAGCTTGACCCCAGGAGGCAGAGGTTGCAGTGAGGCAAGATCGCACCACTGCACTCCATTCTAAATGATGGAGCCAGATCATGTCTCAAAATAAAAAAATAAAGTGAAATGAAATGCAGCAATATTCTTGGAGAAAATAGTTGCCATTCAAATCCAGAAGGTAAAGAATTTAGTCCCTTCAAGCAATGAGTTGGTACAACATAAATACTGCATTTCCTACTATATGGCAACAAAGGGTAATAATCAAATGTCGAATAATAATAAGTGTTGGTCTGGTGCTGTGCTGGGTCAGACTGAAGCCAGCACAGCACTGGGCCTCACCCAAGGCCTGCTGTAACCACTACCTGGCCACTGCCTATGCTTGCTCAAGGCCACAGCACAATAAGCAGGTGGTAAAGTCACCCAATTTTATGCTTTTCCCTTTAGGGTGGCACATCTCTCTATATTCCAGGTGCTTCCAGAGATGCTTTCCAGAAGCTATACCTTGAGTCAGGACACCTTTGAATTCTACCAGTTGCTCTATTCTATTATGACTGAACTGACACTGAAGCCACAAAGCAAAATTCTCCTCACTCTTCTCTCCCTTTTCTCTAGGCAAAGGAGTCTTTCCCTGTATACACCACTACCACAGGCCCATGGGAGTCCTGCCAGTATTCACTTATGGATCAAGAGCTGTTCAGTCAGCTTGTGGTGAATGCTGCCAGGCCTGGGCCTCACCCTTCAAAGAATTGGGCTTCCTTCTGCCTCAGCATATGTCCCAAAATGCCATTCAACAACCAAAGCCCAGAATCAGGAATCTTGAGAGGTTACTTGGTATTCTTCACTGTGGCTGACTTGCTACCTAAGCTGCAAGACAAGGTTTCTTTTATTCTTTCCTTTCTCTTTTTCAAACTTTGAATATGCTGGATTACATCAGAAGCCCGTATTGTGTATCTGAGTCTCCCTCAAGGTCCATAGTGTGTTCTACCTGATTACTGCTGCTAGTTATTCAGGGTCCAGGAGCTCTGTAGTCAACAGGTGATAATACCGCCAGGACTGGGTCTTTTTCTTCAAGACAGTGGGTTCATTTCTGGCCTAGGGTGTCTCTAGAAATGTCTGCAAGCTAGAGGCTGTAATGAGAGTCTCATAACTTTGCTCAGTGCCCTATTCTACTTTGGCTGAGATGGTATTTAAGTTGTGAGACAAAGTCCTTTTTATTTTTTTCTCCTCTCTCCTCAGGCAGAAGGAAGGGATCTCTTTTGGAGCTGTGAGCTGCACTGTCTGGGGTTGGGTGTGGTGTGATCCAAGCATTCCTTTAGCTGTCCCAGCTAATGTCTTACCGAGTCACGTAACACCCAAGTCCATTTGCTCTGAGCCCACCACAACACTAGGACTTGCCTAGGAGTTGCGGTCTTGGGAGCCTAGACAGCATTTCAAGTTTATTTAGGACCCCAGAGCCATTTAGCCCATGATGGCGAGGCTTGCTGAAACTCAAATTCTGACTGCTGGGATGGGCAATTTCCCTCTGGCTAAGGTTAGTATAAATGGCCCTTCCATTAGCATCAACTAAGTTTCGTCTAGTGTTGGCAGCATTGAGTTTCAATGCAGTCTTACAATCACTGCACTCTCCCTTTCCCAAAGCACAGATTCTCTCTTTAAGCTGCCTGGTCACCCCCAGGTAATAAGGCGGGGGGAGTGTTGGCAATTCAAGGGTGTATTTTCTACTCTCTTTGGTGCCTTTTTCAGTAATAAGACATTAAAACCAAATACTGTGATGACTCACCTGATTTTTGTGTCTTATAAAGCTGCTTTTATAGATAATTGTCAAATTTGGTGTTTCCAAGAAGATGATAATCAGTGGAAACATCTGTTTAGCCACATTCTTCCACAATTCAAGCTAATTATTATATAGTCACTCCAGCCATCTTATGATTGCTGTTTGTAAATTCTTAATCCCCTTTTATCCTCTTTCTTTGGATGTAAAAACTTTTGTAGTTTGTAGTAAAAATCTCAGTCTTTGCTGCTGTTGTCTTAATATCCA